TTCCTGCCAACCCCTTTCCTTTTACTTATATTTAAAGAAGGATTTGGATGGCGCTCTCAATATAAAATTGATCATCCTCTTGAAAGGGCAAGATCTTTATAGTCAGTGATCCAAGCAGTTGCTTAAGATTCCATCTCTAAATCCACTAGAAATCTTAAGAGTCTAGTGGTATATTTGTGCCCATTGCTCTTCCAGAGCTGAAATGCCTTATTCTCTTTTGGTAGCGACTTTAGGATAAGCCAAAACACGTGGTCACATGTTACTGGCCGTATCTGAATTCCCTCTATCAGCTTAGCCTGTCCTTCCTACCATTGCATGTAGGTAGCATTCACTACCCAAGTTATTCAGATTTTACATTTAAGGCACAATGTGCTTTTTCAGTTGGGTCCTATTAATGAATGCTCTCCTCCAGCCAGGAATGCTTCATGTCTGACCTCTGGATGGAGCAATCTTTCCTATAAAATAATCTAGCTTTGTCCAGGGCAGGATTCTTTCATCATCACATTGCAACACCAATGGACATGGAGCTCATATCCGGCAACTCTTGCAAAAGTCTCTCATCAGGCATGTCCCATTCTTTGGAGAGGTGGCAACCTTCCCACTCCTGTGAAAGAATCTTTTGAAGCATCCCTCTCCAGTCTTGTGGCCTCTGCAGGGCCAGATCTCTGCTGAAAGAAATCCTGCAGGTCTGTCTCAAACGCAGCAAATGTGGGTTTTAGAAGCTGAAAGAGTCATATCTAAAAATTTTGCATAAGAAAAACTGAGCAGATAGAAAGATCATCAGGGCACGGAAATTGTCTTTAAAGCACCATGAACATTTATGGTGAATGTACAAATAATAATAAAACTGAGCTGCAGGGCAATGTAAGCCCAAGGATCATTTAATTCTATTCAAAAGACATTTATACACTACGGTATGCTAGAACAAAATTTGGTTTTGCTAGGCATTGAGAGATATGGAACCAGGTATAAGCTCACCTGCTATTTCTGAGGCAAACAAGATGGAAGGATGAAGGAAGGAGCTGAGGACCCAGGCTAGCTCAGCATCCAACATGCTGTAATCTTGACAATCTAGCCACTTCTTCCAAACCCTAAAGATGAGCTGAGTGTCTGAAAGTCTGACCCAACTGTGGTTGTGGGTCTCTTTAGAAAATCTGGCCCGAACACAAAACACTCTAGAAAGGACACCGAAACAGCTGCTAGTGTCTCAGCGCTATCAGACTTCTTGTATGTTACTGGGAAAATCACAGAAACTTTCTGTGCCACAGTTTTTAGAAGGATCCCTTTCTCACTATGTCTTCTGTTGATCTG